AGGATGAAGAAGGATATAGTGGGGTTTGTAGCTCGGTGTCTCAACTGTCAGCAGGTCAAGTACGAGCATCAGAGAGCGGGCAGTGTACTTCAGCAGATGATTATTCCCAAGTGAAAGTGGGAGAGGATTACTATGGACTTTGTGAGTGGTCTCCCTCGGACTTTGAGGAAGTTCGATTCGATTTGGGTGATTGCGGATCGGCTGACCAAGCCCGCGCACTTCATTCCAGTATGTACTACTTATTCTTCGGAGCGGCTAGCAGGGATCTTTATCCGGGAGATTGTCCGATTGCACGGGGTTCCAGTGTCTATTATCTCAGATAGGGGTACTCAGTTCTGGAGGATATTTCAGCGGGAGTTGGGTACGCAGGTAGAGTTGAGCACAGCATTTCATCCTCAGACGGACGGGCAGTCCGAGCGCACTATTCAGATATTGGAGGACATGTTGCGAGCCTGTGTTATTCATTTTGGGGGTTCATGGGATGAGTTTTTGCCGCTTGCAGAGTTTGCCTACAACAACAGTTATCAATCGAGTATTCAGATGGTTCCGTATGAGGCGTTGTATGGAAGGCGGTGTAGATCTCCTGTTGGCTGGTTCGAGCCCGGTGAAGCTAGGTTATTGGGGACAGAGATGGTCCGGGACGCCTTAGAGAAGGTGAAGCTGATTCAGGAGAGACTTCGTACAGCACAGTCGCGTCAGAAGAGTTATGCGGACCGAAAGGTTCGAGAGGTGTCTTATATGGTTGGTGAGAAGGTCTTGCTGAAGGTTTCACCCATGAAGGGTGTTATGCGATTTGGGAAGAAAGGGAAGCTGAGTCCGCGGTTCATTGGGCCTTTTGAGGTACTTAGGAGGATTGGGGAGGTGGCTTATGAGCTTGCCTTGCCACCCAGCTTATCGAGCGTGCATCCGGTATTTCATGTATCTATGCTCCGGAAGTATGTTGGGGACCCGTCTCATGTATTGGACTTCAGCACTGTTCAGTTGGAGGATGATTTGACCTATGATGTGGAGCCAGTGGCTATTTTGGGTCGTCAGGTTCGGAAGTTGAGATCAAAGGATATAGCTTCAGTGAAGGTGCAGTGGAGAGGTCGGCCCGTGGAGGAGGCTACTTGGGAGACCGAGCGGGAGATGCGGAGCAGATATCCTCACTTGTTTGAGGCTCCAGGTATGTTTCTTGACCCGCTCGAGGACAAGCGTTTGTTTTAGTTGGGGAGGATGTGACGACCCGGCCCGTCGTCACGTGAGTTACCGCCCTGTTTCCCTCATTTTATGTTTCTCTATGCTTCATTATCGGTATTGGAGGTGATCGAGTCGAATTGGATTGGTTTTAGATGGAAATGAGACACTTAGTCTCTTTAAGGAAAGCTTGTTTTGGAAAAGTCAACCGGAAGTTGAATATTTAGTTAGAGGGCTCGGATGTGATTTCTGATGATTCGGTTAGCTTCGAGGGATGATTTGTGACTTAGGAGTGCGATCGAAATTGGTTTTGGAGATCCGGTGTAGAATTAGGCTTGAATTGGCGAAGTTAGTATTTTGGCGAATTCCGGTTGGTAGATGAGATTTTGATCCGGAGGTCAGAATGGAATTCCGGGAGTTGCAGTATTTCCGTTAGGTGATTTTGGATATGTGTGCAAAATTTCAGGTCATTCGGAGGTGTTTTGGTCGGGTTTTTGATCAAATGCGTAATTCGGAAGTTTTGAAGAAACTTAGGCTTGAATCCGATGTGATTTAATGGTGTTAGCGTTGTTTGATGTGTTTTGAAGATTGGAACAAGTTTTAATAATGTTTTAGGATGTGTTGGTGCTTTTGGTTGAGGTCCCGGGGGCCTCGAGGTGGTTTCGGGTGGTCAATCGGACCATTTTTGGACTTCAAAAGTAGCAGATTTTTAGCTGTTAGTGTTGCAGAGATTTACCCTTCGCGTTCGCGTGGGCGATGTCGCGAACATGTAGAGGGAATTGGAGGGCTTGGAAGTTTGGTCTTCGCGTTCGCGTGGAAGAGGGTCGCGTTCGCGAAGTTATGGAAGGCAAAGCATCGCGTTCGCGTTGGAGGTAACGCGTTCGCGTAGGAGGAAATCAGGGCCTTGTGAAGTTGTTCAATGCGTTCGCGTCATAGGGCACGCGTTCGCGTAGGTAGAGTTTATGATGGTTCGCATTCGCGTGCTGGGAGCCGCGTTCGCGTAGAGTTAAATTTTGGTCAACAATTTCTGGTCATCGCGAACGCGTGGGTGTTGACCGCGTTCGCGTAGGGTAAATTGCACCTGGGCTGAAGGGTTTTTAAATCATATCATCCGCGAAGCTTGGTCCATTTTCCTCCATTGTTGAGCACCTTGAGAGTTTTTTGGTAGAAATTGAAGAGGATTTCGACGGGAATTGATTGGAGGTGAGTCCTATGGCCTAAAAACATCATTTTATTGAAGAATCAACCTGTAAATCCCTGGAAATTTGGGTAAAAATTGGAAGAACTAGGGCTTGACTTTTGAAATGAAAATTTGGGATTTAAGGGGGCATTTGAACTTCGATTTTGGTAAATTTGATATGTATGAACTCGTGGCGAGACGAGGAATCCGGTGATGTGAATTTCGTAATTTTTCGAGAAGTGGGCCCGGGAGTCGGGTTTTGCCAACTTCGTGATTTTTGATAATTTTCGAGTCTTTTCGATTGGGTTATGTTCCCTTAGCCTATTGTAATGTATTCCTTGTGGTTTTGACCAGATTCTACGCACGAGGAAGTTGATTTGCGAGGCAAGGGAATAGCGAGCTAGGACTTTGGCCAGCTTAAGGTGAGTAATGGTTATAAATGATGTTCTGAGGGTTTGAAACCCCGGAATTGCACTATGTGGTGCTATGTGAGATGAGACACGCGCCGTATGATGAGCGTGGTGCTAGTTACTGCTGGGGATTCGGACTCGGTCCATCCCGATTGATGACTCTACTGTATTTTTGACGGAGACTTAATTAATATCAGTATATTTTGGGCTAGTTGCCATGTTTGGAGCCTTGTGCCGATCTGTAGAACCCTTAGGGGGTATGTTGTGCTAGTTGACCCCACTTTACTTGTTGAAATCATACTCTTAGTCATGTTCTTAACTGTTAAACATAATATGAACCGGTTTTAGAAATTGGCAATCCAAATGAGAAATACCTGGGGTTGGAAACCCTATCTTAGCTGAGTGAGCCCGAGTGGCCAAGTCTATATTGACTGAGAGGGGTCAAGGACCCCATAGTGAGGGTATTTGATATATACCGGATCGGGCTGCACGCCGCAGCAGTATATACATATACATGTATGGATCGGACTGCACGCCGCAGTAATATATTATACGGATCGGACTGCACGCCGCAGTGATATATATATATATATATATACAGATATATATATATATATATATATATATATATACTTCTGCGGCGTGCAGCCCGATCCATATAATATATATATATATATATGGATCGGGCTGCACGCCGCAGCAGTATATACATATACATGTACGGATCGGACTGCACGCCGCAGTAATATATTATATGGATCGGACTGCACGTCGCAGTGATATATATATATATATATATATATATATATGGATCGGGCTGCACGCTGCAGCAGTGTAAGTAAATTACCGGACTTTGAGAGGAGTAAGTGAGTTGTGTACTAGTTTGAGGGATATTCACCTGTTTTCCTCACTTAGTTGTTGTTTACTGCATTTGCTTTTGATATAGAACTGTGTAGTGTTTTTACGAGTTTTCTTATCTTCATCGTTTATTTTTTTTGTTACTCACTGAGTCGGAGTACTCACTTTACTCCTGCACCATGTGTGCAGATACAGGTATCCAGGAGGCTCCGTAGAGTGCTTTGCTGTTGCTCAGATTTGACACCGGAGTTATCGAGGTAGCTGCATGGCGTCCGCAGGACCCGATTCCTCCCCTTATCCCCTTTGTTTCCGCATTTTAGACCTTTACATGTATGGTTGGCTACTTCGGTGTATGTAGAGGCTCTAGACTCGTGACACCTAAAGTCCTTTGGGCGTTGTTTTTGGTATTTGCTATGGTTTTTCCGCACTGATTTAGCTATTATCACAGATTAGAATCATGCTTAACTGGTAATTTAACTCTATTAATTGGTAATGTGTTTCGTACCTAGGTTGAGAGTGTTCAAATGGTCGGGCTTGCCTAGCATTGTGTTGGGCGCCATCACGACCGGGATTGGGGTCGTGACACGATTCCAACAAGATCATATGAAGACAATTCATCTCTATCAAGAATGATGATTTCAAGGTGCAATATATTCATTCAAGTTAATATGACTGATTTGCTTATCAAATGTCTACCAACGATCTTTTGAAGATGATGCACATGATTGGAATGTGAAGGCTCAAGGATGTAAATTCATGCTCTCATCAGGGGGAGTTAATGTGCGTTGCACTCTTTTTCCCTTACAAGGTTTTGTCCCACTGGGTTTTCCTTGCAAGGTTTTTAACGATGCAACCAAAAGGCGTATTATTAGATATGTGTACTCTTTTTCCTTTTCTAGAATTTTTTTCTTATTGGATTTTCTTTTAGTTAAGGTTTTAACGAGGCACATTATCTGTCGAATAGACATTCAAGAGGGAGTGATATAAATAGAGTTCTATTTATGGTGAATGTCTATATTTAGAGAGATTCTAGAGTTTATTACTTGGTGGCTAAGTCACTCTCCCTATAAATAGAGGGTCCTATTCCATTTTACTTCATCCCAAAATTCAATAAGAATTCCCTCTCTCTTTCTCTGCAATATTGTTCTTCTACTTTTATTGTTTCATAACAAAACTCAATTATTATAAGCATAAATTGTATGGACAGATGAATTTGGTGCAGGCCTGCATTATATAGTAATGAGGCGCCTTACTGACTGCATTTAAGCGCAAACCAAGCGAGGTCAAGCGCTCAACCAGTTTTGCACCTAACTTCAGGGCGTAATTGCGCCTTAAGTGAGCCTTTGACAAAACTGTCAAAAAATATGATTAAGATGGATGCATGATATGCTGCTGAATAATATCCCCCAATTCAAGACTTTAGCTGGAAGAGGGGCTGTATTAATTAATACTTCTAAACAGATACTAATTAGTACGACAGTAACATTAACACAGCTGCCTTAATACACTAATGGGCTGTACTTACACAAAAGTCTGCCAAGAACGAAAACGGTACCCCTCTGATTAATCTAAAACATACCAAATTAACAGCTTCAAAGCCTAATCTCATACAAAATTATCGCCAAAAACACTTGTGAAGAATCCCAGTCAACAATCCGCAGAGGCAATGTCTTTGTTCACAATCTGCAATGGGATAGTTCAAGGATTAATAGTTAGTCCATCTGAATTTTGGAATTGACCAAATGGCTAGTTTATCAAATTGCAAAGAGCATAAATTATAAATGTGAAATTACTAATCAGAAACACTTTCTACGTTGTGTAGCTATCGTTATCACCACAACTCACCGATAAGGGGGACAGCAAAGTCCTACACAACAAGCATATATTTATGTTGATGCAAGGAAATGTGATATACAATATATTTCTCGCACAGATCTACTCAAATAACTATTCAGGAACCATAAGGACGCAGCAAAAGTTTACTAAGAAAATGATTGAAAGTTCATGATCAAGGTATATGCAACTGTAAGTTCATGATCAAGGTATATGCAACTCCAAATTCATGATCAAGGTTTATGCAACTCTCTTAAACTCTTACCCTTGCACAACATGGACATAGTGTCATTCAAGCAATAATACAACAACAACAACAACAACATAGCCAATGAAATCTCACAAGTGAGGTTTGGAGAGAGTAGTGTCTCCACAAACCTTACCCCTACCTTAGGAAGGTAGAGAGGCTATTTCCGATAGACCCTCGGCTCATGAATAGTAAAAAAGAAGAAATAAATAGACAGTAGCAACAAGGAAATAGGACAACGGAAACAAATGACCTAGTGTGCACTAACAATGGCCCAGTGTGCATTCAAGCAATAATAGAATACTAAAAATATAAGACATGCCAAAAGTCTGAATTATACCTTTGATATGTACTCTTTCATTCCATCATTAATTGGCCCGTCTAGTGCCCTCTCAGCAAGTTCATAAAACGTTGTATTACCTTCAGGACCATTAACTTTCTCTTTGTGCAAATATCTGAAGGTGCAAAAAGAAAAACTTAACACCAGAAAGCAGAACTGAGAGTCATGGACATGGACTCCTCCGGTTTGTCAGCTCTAACCTTTGTTGAACAAGTGCTTCCAATGCCAGTTTGAGGTTTCCATGAACAGGATGGCTTTCATCAGTTTCAGACAATCCCAGCCTTCTCAACTGATGCCAAAGATTTTCTTCAACACATTCATGGCAGCAATTTTAAGTTTAATTTCTCATTATATATTAGCAAGTAACCGACACAGAGAAAATAGGAATAGTTAAATACGTTCAAATACAAATCGAAATGCAAACATACCTTCTGTAATTTTGCCTCCAGCGAGATGAACAATGCTAATAACCACAAAAGTAAGACCAGTGACATGTGATTTGTTTTCATCCTGCACACATGCCTCGTATACATCTTTGGGTAGCTGACTTATGAGTATATACGACTTCGCATCAGCTGCCACTGTCCATCATGAAAAAGTCGTATTGGAGATACACAATTAAATACCAAAATATGCAGCCTATGATTCCAATGAGCTTAACAAACACTATAAGAAGTTTGCAGCTTGATCAAATGAATTCCATTTTGCAGCCCCAATATCTAACACTACTAATATACTCCTTATATAATGAGAGTTGCAACTGCAGTTTGTTCATGAAGATAATAGCTTAACATAAGGAGCAAATATACACACTTCCTACTATGTATCTAAGAGATACTCAGACAGAATGCAACAGGATTTTTCGATGGTATGCCTACAGAATTCATCTTCTTTTTGATAAATAAAGAAGCTAAATATGACCTAAAGAATATGTAACACCATATGGAAATAATGCAAGTTTCGAACTACTCAGTAAAATCAACTACAGCTTAATCCTAAACTAGTTGGCATTGGCTATGTGAATTCTGTATCCATTCTGCTATTTTCCGACCCTCATTTCACACTAAAATGGATGCTAATGTTCACCATTGACCTTCTGCAACCTGTTCTTCCTTATCCGGCTTGAAATCGGCTATATTTTGCACATCAAGAAGAGGCTCTTCGCCTTGTTCATGAAGATTGAATGCCTGTGCTATGACATCTAGTGGAAGCTTAATTCAAGGGATTGATAAAATTTTTAGGAGAGTGGTATCCTTAATTTCTATTCTCTCTCTATTCTAAAAGTGAAATAGAAAACAAAAAAGATCAAAATCCCCGAAAACTTCTACCAATTTACTTTACTTAGTGTATTTGACAAAGGCCCTTTTTCTTAAATATCGCAGGAATCGAATTTAGATGACACTCTAGCTAATTGAAGGAAAAAAATGGCGTATCACCCATTTAAAGGTCTATGCTACACTAAGATTCACATATGCGGAGATTCCTGAGAGTCAGTGGCAATAGAGTTCGAAAGTCGCTGGATATTCGGATAGCTTCTCTACCCTTCTCTACTTATATATTCGGTTTTTCACTTTTGTATTTAACAAAGTTCAAACACCTAACCCATACATCACGTGTTGCACTCTTACCACTAGAACAAAGTTTGGGGCACATAATTTGGAGTTTTAATTACTTAATACAACTAAAACTTTGAAGAAGTAAAATGGACAAATATAAGAAAGTTCTCACTACCTTTGGCTTAGACCCTAAGTGATGTGTGTGTGTATATATAATTCACAAAATCTGCACAAATATTAAAATTTCGAACCCACTAACTCAGATGGCCAGTAAGTTCAGTGGCATCTTGAACCCAATCAAATTTAAATCCTGGTTCCTCATATAAAACGACCTAAAAGAGAAAAGTTCTCATATTTATAATTGGAGTATTAAGAGCAATAATTTAAACAAAACCTTGCTGAGAGGAGCGGGCATTTTGGTTAGACGAACGAGAGCGCTGAAGTTCCCTCATTTCAAAGCCAAAAATGGAGGAAAGCTTCAATTTTGCTTCATTAATAACAAAAGCAGGTAAATTTCTTTGACGGTAATTCTTGCCAGTAATCAATTGTGTTAAATCCTCCCTCTTTATAGGACATCCTGAATTTTGTTCGGTCTTGAATAATACATAACGAATCACCTCCGCTACAAGCTTGTCTTTTTCCTGTATACAGTAGAACATACACACAAATATAAACCCCAAATTGTGAAAATTTTGAATTAAGTGTAGAAATGGATGGGATTTACCTCCACTGAAATACCAAATTGAGAGAAATCTTCTGCATAAGTGGACATTTCTGTGATAGAAAATTAGAAATAAATTGAGTAAAATTAAAGATTTACATACTGAAAAAATGGGGTTTGGGGAAATCGTGAAATCATGTACCTTTTTGCCTATCTCGATGGATTTTTGGAATTGGATTAGTTATGCTTTTGTATTTAGGATTTTAAGGAGAAAGAGAAGAAACGGAGGGAAGGGAAGAGTAAGGGTTTTATAGCTGGGGGATCAAGATTGAGATTCGGTTTTTTTTTTTTTTTTTTTTTTCCCGCCATTTGGTTAAATGAATAATAAAGGGGTGAATACCACAATATTGTGGGATGGATGATGAGAAATCCTCTCATTCTTACTCAGAAATTTCTAGTAGGAAGCTGCTCTCACTATGATGATGGTGAATTAGCAAGGGTCGTTTCATTGCTAGTTAGAGTTATATAGATATTGATAATGATTAATTATTAAGGCCATATGGTGAACGCACTGTAATCAAAGCCATAAGATGCAACGTACACTTGAAAGCCATATGGTGCAACAATTTAGACAGGACTATTAAGGCCACAACATCCACATAAAATCTAAGAATTTATATGCAAACAGACACACCCTTTTTTGTTTATAAAATCTAAGCACTTATCATTTTTCTCTTTCAAACTAAAATCCAATAACCTTTCAAAAAGCTTGAATTCTTTCTTGTCCTGTTTTTGTTTTCTTGAAAAAATTATATGGATTCTTCATGTGGAAATATGAACACTTTTATGAATTCTTTTACCAGCAACTATTCTTTTTTATCTTCCCAATTCATGGCTTCTTCTTCTTTCTGATAATGATTATAATAACATGAGGAGTAACAACAGTTCAATGAAGCAAGAGAAGAATTCATTGAATTGGGGGTTCATTGATTAAAGAATGAATCAACAAAACAAATATGACATTCCAAAATTCAAGTCTTTGCCAATGGTCTCATCTTCATCACCAGTTTCTCCTTCTTCTTATCCTGCTTATCCTCCTTCTTTAAGTCCATCTGCTCTTGGGACTCAACAATTCTGTTTAGCAGTTAAGTTCTTTGTTTTTTCTTTTTTTTTAAATGATTAACATTTTTGTTGAAGTACTATTAATTTTTCTCAATTTTTGTAACTTGTCTGACCAAGAATTTCCTTTTTATTAATTTTGAATTGTTTTCAGCAGACTCTCCCATCTCCAACTACAGGGAATTCTGGTAATTGGAATTCAAAGGAGGATAACTCAAGGATTTTTATTTCTCTTTCCAAAGTATGCCTTCTACTTCATCATCAATGTTTCAGTCTTCTGCTCCAATAAACTCATTAGTATATTTCTTTTGTTTTTTGGCTTCCCCAATCATATTTAGTTGTCGGGAATTTTCGAGTTCACATTATTTATGTACAATATTGGTGTGAGATGAGCTTAAAAGGAGCGACATGATAAGTAGCCGACACCAAATTGCTAGGAATTGAGCGTAATTGTTGTTATTATCTTCTGACTTCATCAAAAAAATTGTTGTTATTATCTTCTGTAAAATATGTATAGCATGACTAGTATTTAGCCGTTTCTTTTATGAAACTTTATAAAGTGTCAGCTTATCAGATTAAATAGCAGTTAATTGTTGAACCATCCAAGTATATCTCTTTGCTAGAATCCATATTATGTCTGTCTCTCTGCTGGAAAGATAGTTTTTCCAGATGAAACTATATTTTGTGCATTTTGCGGCTATAGATGACCTAAAGCCTTACATCACCAACCATAAATTGTTTTCTTTTCTTTCAACTTTCCTTTCCATTGTAAATCTCTAAAAATTGGTTTGTGATAAATTAATTGGATAAAACAGGAAGACTTAATGACAAGGCAACAACATGCCAACCAGCAAAATGAAAATTACTAGGGTGAAAATAGAAGTGGCTCCAATTCAGAGTAATCCAGCTCCAGTACATTACACTCAACCATCACAGAACAGAAAGCAGAAGATGGCTACAATCGGAGGAAATATGGGTAGAAGCAATTGAAAGGAAGTGAGAATCCTTAGGATTTCTCATTTCTGTTTAACCATAAATCAAGTAGCTATTTTCTAAACTTTGAAGACAAGTACATTAAAAACATCACTTTCTCCGCAAGTAGCTAAATACATTAGTTAAGCTTTGAATCTGAGTTGGCTACTTTATAAAAACACTAACGTCAAACATTTCCATGTACATATTTTATACAAAAATAGCCTACTTTAAGGCCACAACATCCACATATATGTACATTTTACAAAGTAGTTGCACAAAAAACCTGTCATGACCGTTGGGGTTAATTTCAAAAGATAGAAGTAGAGGGAGTGAACAGTAATAACCGAAAATAATGGAAGGCCAGGATCAATTTGTTTTTAATGAGGCTCAACGGCTGAGATCAAGCCAGCCTAGTATAAGTAACAGAATTGACGAGGAGAGAGACATGCTAAAAATTCCGGTAATCTAACAACCTTCTCTCTCCTTCTTCTTCTCCTAAATTCTCTCACACCTTTTTCTTCTTCTCTTACCCTTCTTCTTCCTTCTTCTGCAGATTCGACTACCAATGGAGATCCCAATTACTTTCTGAATTCGTAGTTAGTTTAGTTCAGTGTAATTCCTTTTCAGTTTTATCAATATACAGAAAATTATCCCACAATTATTGTTATTTCCATTTGTCCTTTTCTTAAATTCTGTTTGGAGTGGCTAAGGTCATAACAATTAGCATCAGAGCCTTTGATTCTGCGACTATTCGACTCCCATTATGGCGGAAGGAATGAGAATGAAGTTGATGGAAAAGAAGTTGGCCCATCACGACGAGCTACTGATTGAATTGCGAGATGGCCAACAAGCTTTGCGTGATGTACAAGTTGGAATACAGGGCACCTTGGAGCAGTTATTAGATCGGTTGAGCACGATGGAGAGGAGGCCTAATAGAGTGCCTGAGCAGGTGCAAGGAATTGGGGATGGATTGCTTCCACTTCCAGTTCATGATGTTCGACAACCTAGACCACAACAAGGAGCTGTTCCTAGTCCTAAATGGGAGCTACCCAACTTTGATGGGACAGGCCCTAAGGTATGGATTCGAAAATGTGATAGGTTTTTCAATTTGTATAAAGTTCCAGAAGAACAGAAGGTGGATGGTTCCGCTCTATATATGAATGGAGATGCTGAGACTTGGTATAACTCCTTAGAATTGAGTAAAAGGACAGTGTCCTGGGCTGAGTTCAAGGAGGAAGTATGTAACAGGTTTGGTAGTGTATTGATGGAAGACATTGTGGAGGAGTTTAACAAACTGGAACAGACGGGTAGTGTTGAGGAATTCCTAATGAAGTTTGATGACCTAAAGGCATAGATGATAGTCAGGAATCCTGCATTGAACGAAGCTCATTTTCTATCTAGTTTTATTGGAGCTCTCAAAGAGGAGATTAGGTTCTCTGTGAAGCTCTTCAAACCAGCCACACTGAGATGTGCCATACAACAGGCCAGAATGCAAGAAAAGGCCATTGAAGCTGCCCAAAAGAAGATTAATAAATTTAGTGTTGGGATAAAAATAAATAATATCCCGCCCAGGAATAATATCCAAGATAAATAACAGTAACACAAAAGAGTAACAGCGACACCAAATATTTTAACGGGATAAAATACAATATCCCAACGGAGCAATATTACCACTATAATATTACAACTTAGTAGTGTCTAGAGACTACTACAACTTCGAAAGAAATAACACTCTTTATTTTAAACACCTCACTATAATATTACTCCCACTCACTATTTATCTCACAGACTACAATCTGTGGATTACTCTCTCTACGCTCTATTGCGCTCTCTCTGATTTGGTGTGCTTGAAACTGAACAAAACGCTTCAATTTATAGGAAAAGTTGCCGCACTCTCCAACCAATCAAAAGATTGGTTTCTTCAACTTGTAAATCTGCAATTTGCAGACTTTGGTAACAACCAAAAACCAACTAGCAAAATTGGTTTTACAACTTGTTAGTTGCCGCCTACAATTGCTTTTCAAGTTATCCAATCATTTTTTTTTTCCTTTTTTCTTTTTCTTTCAATTCTTTATTTAGGGACCCACAAATCTCTCCCTTAATTTTAATTTTTTTTCTTCATTCCAAAACTTGATCTCAATCTCTGGAAATCTTCAAACTTGAGAGGTTTGGTAAAAATATCCGCAACTTGATCATGTGACTTCACATATTTGAGCTCGACTTCCTTCTTGGCAATGCATTCTCTGATGAAGTGATATCTTGTATCTATATGCTTGCTTCGATCATGATACACCGGATTCTTCGCGAGTGCCTGTGCGGATTTGTTGTCAATACAAATCTCCGTAGCGTCAATTTGTGGCAAATTGAGCTCCTTCAATAATCTTCTCAGCCAAATAGCATGACACGTACAAGATGTTGCTGCTACATATTCAGCTTCACAAGTCGAGAGAGTAACTATGGACTGTTTCTTTGAACTCCAAGAAATAACNTTCTATCATCAATATCTCCGGCATAATCACTATCACAAAATCCCATAAGGTTGAAATCATTAGAAGAAGAATAAAATAACCCAAAGTCAGTCGTACCTTTTAGGTAACGAAGAATTCTTCTAGCGACTTTCAAATGAGTGGAGGTAGGAGCTTCCATGAAGCGGCTTACTACTCCAACTGCAAAGAGTATATCTGGCCTGGTACAAGTCAAGTACCTCAAACTTCCCACAAGACTTTTGAAAAATGTGGGATCCTCCTTTTCTCCTTCATCAAACTTGGACAATTTTGTCCCACTCTCCATCGGTGTGTTCACGGGGGTTGCAATCGAGCATGTTGAACTTCTTCAATATCTCTTTGTATAGCTTTCTGAAAAGTAAAAATTTCATCCTCCATCTGCTTCATCTCTGTGAGCCAGGAGTATTGTAATGGCCTTATGTTTCATCTACAAACTCATCACCGTGACATTATTTCTTTCTTAAAGCTTCAAAACAAACTTGAGTTATTGCCCGTGAAAATAAGATCATCAACATAAAGACAAACAAGTAAGATATCTCCATTAGTATGAACTTTAAGGTAAAGAGCATATTCATAGAGACAACGAGTAAACCCATTGTCTTGAAAATATTTGTCGATGCAACTATTCCATGCTCGTGGGTTGCTTTAATCCATATAAATCTTTCTTCAACCGCAACACTTTATCTTCATGGTTTTTTGACCACGCAAGCCCAATGGTTGTTCAACATAGACTTCTTCTTCAAGATAGCCATTCAAGAAGGCTGACTTGACATCTAGTTGATGGATCTTCCATTTTATTTGTGCCGCCAAAGAGATCAGCAAACGAATCGTCTCCATGCGGGCAACAGGTGCATAGACTTCATTCCATAGTCAAATGCCTTGCCTTTGCTCTGTAGCCTTTAGCCACAAGTCGTGACCTTGTATTTTCCACATCTCCATCAGCATTCTCTCTTTATTTTGTATACTCATTTCACTCAATTTGCTCGTGACCCTTGGGAAGAAAGTTGTTAACTCCAAGTGTTGTTCTCTCTATTGACTCAATCTGCTCTTCCATGGCTTGTTCCACTTTTTGTTTGTAAATAGCTTCATCAAAAGTTCATTGGTTTCACTGTCAGCAAAGAGACAACATAAAAAATCAAAATTAGTAACTTCTTCTGTGTCCTCATAGAGCTCTTGAATACTCCTTGTCCTTTTGCGGCTGTTCATTTGAACTTTCTTGAGAAGAGGGAGATGCAACATTGGTTGGAGAAGGAGGTGGAGTTGTATACTGCACAGGTTCCACGGTCTCTGGTTCTTCTTCATCACCAAAAATGGAAGAAAATCATATGAATTTTCTCCTGAGCTTCCAAACCATGCCAATTCTTCATCAAATTCAACATCGCACTTAAACCACCTTACCGCTGCTTGGGTTGTATAACTTGTATCCTTTTGAACTCGTATCATAGCCAAACAAACACATGCTTGAACTTGATCGTCAAGCTTCGCTCTCCCTTGCTGTGGCACATGAGCATATGCTATGCTCCCAAAGATTCTAAGTGTTTGACACTGGTTTCTTCCACTCATGCTTCTTGAGGAGTTGGATCTCTAACATTTCTTGTTGAGAGACCTGTTATTCAAATAAACTGCACAAGAAACAACTTCGGCCCAAAAATTCCTTGGGCCATACTTTTAGCTTTCAACATACATCGAGCCATATTAAGAATCGTTCGATTCTTTCTCTCTACACTCCATTTTTGTTGGGGTGAATAAGGGTACCGTTAGAGGGCGACGAATTCCATGAGACTGACAAAAGTCATTAAATTCGTTTGAAGTGAATTCGCCTCCTCTATCGGACCTTAGAGCTTTAATTTCATAGCCACTTTCTTTCTCCACAAGTACTTTGAAATTTTTAAAAGCAGCAAAAGCTTAAGATTTTTGGTTCAAGAAATAAACCCATCTTTCTACTAAAGTCATCAATGAAAAGCAGAAAGTATCTACTTTTACCAAAAGAAGGTGGATTGATGGTCACACACATCAGTGTGAACAAGCTGGAGCGGCTTGGTTGATCTTGACATGGCCTTCCCTTTGAAAAAACTCCTCTTGCATGTTTTCCAAGAAGACAAGCTTCACACAATTGATTGGGATGGTTGATTGATGGTATCCCATGTACCATGTTCTTTTCTCCCATTGATTTGAGCGCTTCAAAATTCAAGTGCCCAAATCACATGTGTCAACACCATGATTCATCTTGCACATTAGCCTTCAAACACTTTGCATCAATTGTTTTAAGATTCAGAGAAAAACAATCTATTCTTTGCCATATGCACTTTAGCAATAAGAATTCCACTTGAATCTCTAAGCCAAAGATGCATATTTTTCATGTGGATGTCATATTCCTTTTCAAGAAGTTGGCCCAAACTCAAATATTACTTTTTAATTTTGGCACATAATAAACATCTTGAATTAGTTTGTGACTACCATCTTTACAGGAGATCAGAATCGTATATCCCTTCGGTTTGAATTTGAGGTATCTCCAAAGGACAACATTACCTCTCACCGTTTTATTGATCTCCACAAACTTTTCTTTGCATCCACACATATGATTGCTTGCTCCATTGTCCAAAACCACGAGCTGCAATCATCATTGTCTTCTTCCTTGAGTGACACAATAACGTTGACTCATTTTCTTCTTCTTGTCGTCAACAAGGTTAGCTTTCTCTCAACATTGCTACGACATTCCAAGAGTAATGTCCAAATTTATGACAATTATAACACTCAATTTTTGATTTGTCATACCTTTGTCCATTATTTTCTTGGTAGTAGCCACGTCCTCTTCCTCCTCTTTGTCCACGACCACGACCTCTGAATGCTTGGTGGATTTTAACTTCATTGTTGAAGTTGTTACCATTACTTCTTCCTCTTTCCATGACCGCCACGGCCTCGTCCTACGTCCATTTCCTCTGTAGCTCTTTTCACCTCCATAATCCTTGAAGGATTGCCTGCGTTTTAAGAAGTTTGCTCCAATGACACTTCTTGTCTCCTCTTGATCTTTTCTTCATGAGCCTGTAAAGAACCCTCCAATTGCTCCACCATCATAGAGTCTAAATCTTTAGACTCCTCAATAGCACACACCACAAAATCAAATTTTGGTGTTAAAGTGCGAAGGATCTTTTCTACCACACGGACATCTTTTATGTCCTCCCGTTATCTTCTTAATTGATTCACAACAGCCTTCACTTTTGAACAATAATCCGAAATGCATTCGGATTCTTTTATTTTTAAAACTTCAAAATCAGCACTTAGAGTTTGAAGTTTTACCTTCCTCACCTTGTCAACTCCTTGAAGAGAATTTTGTAAAATCTCCCAAGCTTCCTTTGAGGCAGTAGCATCTGCCACCTTCTCAAACATGGCATCATCCAAACATTGGTGGATGAGCGTGAGGGCTTGTTGATCCTTCTTCCTTGTCTTTGCCAAGACATCTTTTTCATTTTGAGGCAGAGCTTCCTCATTATCGGGTTTTGCATACCCTCTATCTACGATTTCCCACACATCCTGGGAGCCAAGAATGGCTTTCATACGTAGACACCATTTCTCATAATTATCTTTTGTGAGGCGGGGGTACTGAAAAGACAACGGACCATTACTCGCCATGGCTCTGATACCACGTTGTTGGGATAAAAATAAATAATATCCCGCCCAGGAATAATATCCAAGATAAATAACAGTAACACAAGAGAGTAACAGCGACACTAAATATTTTAACGGGATAAAATACAATATCCCAACGGAGCAATATTACCACTATAATATTACAACTTAGTAGTGTCTAGAGACTACTACAACTTCGAAAGAAATAACACTCTTTATTTTAAACACCTCACTATAATATTACTCCCACTCACTATTTATCTCACAGACTACAATCTGTGGATTACTCTCTCTACGCTCTATTGCGCTCTCTCTGATTTGGTGTGCTTGAAACTGAACAAAACGCTTCAATTTATAGGAAAAGTTACCGCACTCTCCAACCAATCAAAAGATTGGTTTCTTCAACTTGTAAATCTGCAATTTGCAGACTTTGGTAACAACCAAAAACCAACTAGCAAAATTGGTTTTACAACTTGTTAGTTGCCGCCTACAATTGCTTTTCAAGTTATCCAATCATTTTTTTTTCTTTTTTCTTTTTCTTTCAATTCTTTAAGTCACGGGAATGATTGGATAATTGGTTTATATGGATCCTTCCTGTGTGAAAGCACAGAGAAAAATGACATTGCCAAAAATTGACAAGGTAAAATTTCCATTTATTCATCAAAAGAAACGTCCCTTTTGAAGCCAGAATTGATTTTCCTTGATACCTAACATAATGCATGAAAGGATCCTTGAATAACCATAGGGTAACCTGAAAATCCTTAGCAAAGACTTCTACAAGACGTGGGACCCACATTTAGGTGAACTAATAAAAAGACAAATCCATCAACCTTAAACAATTAGTATTTATAGGAAAGATTAAAGAACTAGAATCATCAGACTGATTATAAGAAATTGTTCAACTGGGCTAAGAAAAATAATCTTGGTTGCGAGGAAATGGCCTTAGAAGTCATCAACTTGGTAAAAAGCAAACGTGTATGCCTCTTGCATAGAAGCGTTCAAAGCAAACGTGTGTACCTCTTCCATAGAAGCAGCAAAAGTTGAATATGATCATCGCTGGTATAGACGAGCACATATACAGGTCAGAGGCGGATCCAGGATTTGATGATTACGGGTGCCACTCAGGGGCGAATGCATATTTATCGAAACGGTGTCCCATAACATCGCTTCGTCGAATTCTTTTGCTAAATATATGTATTAATACTGCTACGAAGCGGATAAGTAGAAAAAAATGACATCACTTGACATAATTTATCTCTTGGCGTATTAGTTATGTGCTTGATTTTTCTCTAAGAGGTCAGAGGTTCGAACCTCAACTAGCATATCTTTTTTTTTTTTTTTTTGCAAATATTTGATAGAATCTATGCGGTTAAAAATTGTGATGAAATAGAATTTAATTCAGGACTTTTTCTAACTTAAGACTCAACAAAACCAATAGACCAAAGTTATTTCTTGTGTAGAAGTATGATAATTAAAGTTATTATTCCCGTTCTTCTATAAATTTTGCACTGCTTACAAAAATTCCGTGAATGCCCCTGGTGCCACTGCTTTTAATGCAAACCGACCATAGTGAAGAGATTGAACTTGGGTTTACATTTAGTCGGTTTCCATTTTCGATTAATTTGGTTCGGTCCTGTCCATTTTGAATTAATTTAATTCAATTTAAAAGATTGTTTTATGCATAAATGAATATGTGATCACAAAATCGAATAGGTTCTGTCCAATTGAGTCTAATTCTCTAAGTTCAAATTCAATTACTATGATTAAAAAATATAAAGAAAAATAAAATTTTAAATTAGGAAATACACCACTTCAATATACATATAGCTCAATTAATATTATGTCTTTGGTGCATCACTCTAATTTTTAAAATTAATAAAATAACACTAGATGGATAAAAAGAGAAAATGATTAAAATCACATTCAAATAAAATGAATATCTAGAAAAAGAAAAGGAAGCAAATATACAATTTAAATAAATAATAAAAAGGAGATTGTAGAAATAAAGTAAATAACTAGAACCACCCCAGAGTCTGGATCCTGGGCATTTCATGTGGAGTTTCAGTGTTTTAGCCGTGGCACCTGCACTCATTTTATGACTGGGGGTGCCATTCGTTATATATGTTCAATATTTGAGAAAAATACTAGTACACATATACGATTTTACTTGAACGACCGGGTGGCGTACCACCCCCGAGCCCCTACATAGATCCGCCCCTGATACAGGTACCACTTTCTTTCTCACCTGCCTCCTTTCCCTTCCTAAAAGTGTTTAAACGGGAAAGATGCAGGATGCGAACAAAGCTTCCTTTTGTTTCTGCTAATCATTCTTCACTGGAAATGAATTGCTCATAAACTAAGCCCTTTTGTTCGCTACTCATATATAGGTATGTCAACCTGTTGGAAACGACACTGATTTGGCAAAATGTAGGAATGAGAAACCAAAAAGAAAGAAAAAAAAAGACATATTACATGATGCTAACACTTCTCCAATTTTTACAATATTGCTTGTGTTTTGAATTATATGTCGTGAGCACAAGTCATGTTAGTTCTGGGGTGTGATGTGTTTTGCACTATTTGTCGAACCTGGTCATGCTTCTCCCTGTTACATTTTCCGCACTGTTTGTCAAACCTGGTCATGCTTCTCCCTGTAATAAAGATGTCATCTTCTTAGATGGCTTATGTTAATATATATGTGATACTATTTTATATGCCATCTGCGGAACGTACTTGAAATGTTGCAGGATATAATTATTCATATCTATAGCTTACAACTTGCTCATTATGAAAGTTGTTGATTCATGTTTCATATATAACTGACAGGATTGGACAAGATGATTTCATGCTGAAGCATTGCGCACCCTAGGATATGTTGTAAACCACTAAGATTATACATGTAGATATTGAGAATTGTACTACAAAGTGTGGCCCAGGTTTTCCTCTCTTACGATGTGAAAGATGATATTGATCACCTAAATGCAGAGATATAGATTCTGCAGCAGATAAACTTGAGGAGAAATCAAATGAAAACTCAAAGAAGATGCAAAGGGTCCTACATATAGAGGAAGTTGCAACAAAAAATGCAAAAAATGGAGCAATTTCTAGAGGAAGATGAAGTAGGTGAAATTACATGTTCTGGAAGATATAAATGCAAAAAATGGTACATTTGTACCAAAATGTATCCAAATAATATCCAACAATTAGCATGCGATGTTATTTAATTATATATTCGATTTGGTAATTATTTATACGCATCGATTTCTCTTCTCTGTTTGTTTCATACAAAACAAAGTTATGTGATGTTATTTATATCTGCTTTAATAGTCAGAGGCGGATCCAGGAGTTGAAGGTTCCGGGTGAGATACTTTTTTGAAAGTAGATGTCTACCGATTTACATGGTCCAAATGGTAAACATTTGATCGGTTGATCAACTTTGGAGTTCAGTTTGAATTATCTACCTTTTCGATTTATACGGAAAAATAGTTCGAACGAAAAAAATATAAAAAATAACTTGGTGCAAATTATAAAACTCCAACAATATTACTATTAATATCATTTTTCTTCTTTCTAAAGGGTACTCTATAAATGACTTTATTAGTGATCGATCTATATGTAGAACTTTTTAAATTTTCAATAATAGCTATTCGGAAGAGATCAGACACTCCTCTTTGAGTTCAAGAAGTGAAGAGCCTAGAGAAATCATGCCCTTTGTAAATTTTCATACATATACAAAAAAGAAGTTTAGAATCTAATATGGTGGTCACCAAATAACTTGTCCATTTTAAGAAAGTGGTATTCAGATCAATCCAAATCCTCTATGTTATTTTTTTCTTCTTTATTTACCCTTTCTTTCTAGGTGCAGAGTGAGTTGGTATAAAAACTAGAAAAGAAAAAGAAAAAAGTTAAAAGGAAATATGAAAGGTTAAATGGAATAAATAATATTCGTCCAAAACAACATGTTAAAGGAAAATGACAGCTAATTGATCCATTCAAGCTGTAAAACAAATCTGAGTCTAAGAATGGAATAGGAGAAGATAATTGAAGAATTAGAAGACGAGATGGGAAAAAAAAATTCAAGAAACTTGAAGAGAACTAGTTACTTCATTGATTACTAAACCACTCTTTTGGGTGCATCTTTCTTTGCTTACTTTTGAAGAGGCGACTAATAATGTTATGTATTTGAAAAAAGCCTAAAACCAAAATAACACTCTACGACTTCTCATTTGCTTAAGGGAAGATAGATAAAAGCAGAATGCAAAATTGCCTGGACTGAAAAATGTCAAAAGAAAAATACATGTAGAAACTTTAATAGTGCTAAATTGCTTACTTGAAGAACATTTTTATGATTACTGTAATATTTTAGTAGTGAGTTTAGTCCAACCCGTAAAATTGAGGAATGGTTTTTATGGTTAGTAATGAACTCAGCTAAGTGTTGTGAAATGCATTCAATACCCTTAAAAGCACAGCCATAAATTTATTCAAGAGAATGTTATCTCCTAAAACTGAAGTAACTATTTGGATATCAAACCCCTTGTTCTCAGGCCTGTCACCCAAAATCTTTAAAAAAGAATTACATTTTACAAGATACTGTCATGCATAACCACATCACGCACGTGATAACACCAAGAATCCAGGATGAGAGATATAGGCAACAACCGAGCGAGCAGCGGAGGAGAATGAAAGACTAGACATATGTTTCTGTTGATAACCTCCATAATCTGTAGAATACAATCCTTGCATCAAGACAATATCACCCTTTCACAACTAGGGTTATTGTCTTCAGGTAATAGATTTGACTTCGCCAAATGGAAGTGCGAGAATCATTTGAAAAGTTCAACACTATCACGATGTTTTCTCAAGAATGATGCACCAATTTGATTTGTCATAGAATCTATCAACGAGAATGGCATTATCCAGACCAGACACCAACCTATCAAAGAACAGAACATGTCAATTAGTGTAGCTCATTGTTACAAATTGGTCAAACTTCTAATTTTGCGAAACTAAATAACAGAGAAGTACTGCCTCATCTTGCCACTCCCCACCCCAAATACTCAAAAGCCTTTCCCTTCAGTCCATAAGGGAATGGGGGGGGGGGGGGTATGAAAGAAGCAATAAAAGAACTTCAGAAATGACTCTGAGACAAACAAGCACAAGCCCTGCAATAAGGGAAAAAGAACCTATTTTACTTATCAAGAAAACTTGATCAGCTGTATTGTTTGTTTCATTCATTCATCTATATGCATGCACTTCAGTTTATTGGGAGAGAACAGTAACACGTCAAATTACTTCTGAATGAGGATGAAAGAGACTCCTAGCATCACCTATAATGAGATAATCAGAACTACTAAAACTAATTTCTCTTTTGAGGTCAATACAATTTCAAAAGCTGCACATGTGACCTCCCAAATATCATATGTTTTTTAAGAGATTCAAACTCTAATAACATATTATTGCCAGAGCATGATTTACACTAAATTTCTACTCAAAGAATGACACAAACTGTTTACACTTCCCTAGCCACAAAAAAAACATAATGGAACAATTGGAGAAGTGTAACGACATTCAATCATCATGTTATAGATTATAAAATTTAACAACCATGATAAGTATTTGTTAACATATAGCGACTTGACAGAATGAAATCAGTCAAACAAGAAAATTTGGGGAAAGTTTTACTTTTCTTATATAAAATAAGAAAAGGAATTACTTTCAAGTTCCCTTCACTAAAAACGTGGTAATATCTATTATACACCATAGAACCCTTCTTATCATCTTTCTTTGCCAAACCACTAGCTAAGGCAACAGCTGAAGCCCCACTTACTTCAGCTTGATGATAAGGTAAGTGCCAAGGAACAAAGAATTCCTGTTGCTCTGCATAACCTTTTCCAGATCCAGTAAGCAAAGAACGACCTTTATCCTGAGAGGTTGAGTCCATAACTTCAGCTGATTTTACTTTTGAAGACTTTGCATGTAGGTCTTTCAACTGCTCCCCAACACCATTTTCCTCTGCTTCTGGGATGCTTTCAAGGGTGCGAGGAGATGAAGGGTTGCGAACTCGAGGACTTCCTGGTCCTATCCACTCTGCTATATACCTTTGGTTAAGTGGTGTCCATTTTTCAACTAACGACGTGTCTTCTTGTTCCCTGGCCCAGACAGTAATTAAAATACACCCACCCTTTTTAACAACACGGACGAGCTCCTCCACCGCTTTCCTCCTCCTATCTTCAGTACTTAAGTGATGCAACACAGCAATAGAAATCGCTGCATCACCATACCCAGTCCTATATGGTAGGTTCACAGCGTCTGCAACCAAAACTTCATGTCCTCTATCTGCACATATATTAATAAGAGCAGCACTAATGTCACAGCCAATAAAGAAACAATCAGGATTTAACCCCAAGTATTTCCCATTTCCACATCCAGCATCTAAGATGAGTGAACTAGGAGATAATGAGTTCAAGAAAGCTGACACTTTAGGCCACTTTGCAAACCGAGTGGAACTGAAATGGGGAGCAATGGCATCATAAACACCATGGACATACTTCTTTTCGATTTCTGGGGTTGATTGAACATTTGAAGAACATTTTGCTCTGACAGACACAGGACGTAGAACAGGAGCCTCTCCCACAGATTCTGATGTAAGCAAACTCGAGGCATTATCAGTTCCAACTTCTTTCATTGTACTAAAACTTCTTCTACTGAAAAATAACCAATTATAATAGTAGAGTTAATATATACTCCTTTGAAACAAAATGAACTTGCCGTTCCAACACCAAAGAGCATCAGCTACATAAATAGTACATGACAATACTCTGTTCAGACAAACGAAGAAAAGCAATAGCAACTGAGGTTCATAACAAAGAAATTTATCAACCAAGTAATCTTTCAATACATAAATGAATATGTTCTTCACTCGGCTTACACTCTTAATATAATTAAAGCATATTTCTTTCTTTTTGTTTCTTTTCATTTCTAAGTTTGAAACCTATACAAAAGACATTGTAATCCATGACATATTAAAAATTTAACTCAAAGGACCTACTGTATACACTAACTAGGACAGGATTTAACCTAATGGAGCAATTCGAGTCACAGTAATAAGGATTAGAAAAGGGTATTTCTCTATTAAATTGACTTAAAAGTTAAAACTGTAACGAGAAAAGAAAATGCCTTTTAGTACATTAGGATGATTTGGTGGATGTATTGAACTCTTTTCCTACCTTCTAACTCCTTTATTCTTATCTTGAAAGCTTTGTGAGTTTTTCCCGTTTTAATCTTTGTTGAAGCAAGGGAAAAGCCAGGTTGAAATCGTTTGGGTTGAGTTCTTGGCTGCTACACCGTTGACCTAGTCAGTTTACACTTCTACTATTTTTTCCCCTTGCTAGATAAGGGTCTTAATTTGTACTCCAATTTGTCTTTTCTGGTTAAACTTTCTGAGTGGTTTTTTTAGAAAGAGTTAGGCTACATAACTATGCTTTGTTATAGAAAATAGGTTTCTGTTTTTCGTTTTGAATTTGAGTGGAGGTAGTCAAAGAGATTAGTGAAGCCATCCTTTTGGTTTTACTTTAATCATTCAAAAATTAGATAATATTATAAATAGAGTTTTATTCAAGGTGAATGTCTATATTTTAGAGAGATTATACTTGGTGGCTAAGTCACTCTTTCCCTATAATAGAGGGGTCTTTTTCAATTGTAATTCATCTCAAAGTAATAAGAATTCTCTCTATCTTTCTTTGCAATATTCTTCTTTATTATTTTATTACACGTTATCAGCACGAGACTCTACAGTCTCAAGAAGCTCTTTGAGAAGACTAAGGTATAATTTTTCTCCTATTTTAATTATGACTGATATTATAAAAAGAAAGTTCGTTGTCCTTGAAATTTCGGGCAAGAACTATATGACATGGTGTTGGATGCTGAAATCCATTTAGATGCAATGGGTCTTGGAGACGCCATTAACGATAAAAATAAAGCATCTACCCAAGATTGTGCTAAGGCCTTGATTTTCTTGGGCCATAACCTAGATGAAGGGTTAAAAATAGAATATCTCACAGTCAAAGATCCACTTGTTCTGTGGAATGGCTTAAACGAAAGATATGACAACTTAAAGTTGGTCACTCTTCCACAAGGACGATATGATTGGGCCCATCCGAGGCTCCAAGACTTTAAGTCTGTTTCTGAATATAATTCTGAAATGTTCATAATTACTTCTAAATTGAAACTCTGTGGAGATAGTATCACTAACTATGATATGCTTGAAAAAACGTTCACAACGTTTCAGGCCTCCAATATGGTCTTGGAATAGCAGTACCGAGAGAAAGGTATCAAGAAGCATTCTGAGTTGATTTCTCTTCTCCTTGTGGCTGAACGAAACAATGACTTGCTCATGAGAAATCAAGATAATCGACCCACTGGGTCTACACCATTGCCTGAAGTGGATGAGGTGTATTTCCACTATGCTAAGCGTGGAAAAGGCCGTGGCCCTATTCGTGGTCGTGGCCGTGGACAAGGAAGAATTTTTCTTGGTGTTAATCCCCAAAGAAAAATAACCACCAAAAGTGAAAAGGGAAAGATGAGAAGCCAAAGGCAAATGGTTCAGAAACTGAATGTTATCGTTGCCGTAAAAAAGGGCATTGGGCAAATATTTGTCGCACACCAAAACATTTGGCTGAGCTTTATCAAGCATCTCTAAAGAATAAAGGCCCTGAAGCTAATTTTGTCTATGACAATGAATTTGACATCAACCACATGGATGTGGCAGAATTCTTTGAGCACCCTGATGGAAAAATAGACCACTTGATGGATCCATGGTTAAAGATAATTGAGTAGTTTAATTTTTATTTTTCCTATTCGTAGTAGCTAGTTAATAAACATCATGTAATAATAGTTCTTTACATGAGTAGTAGTCATTAGTATCAATTAATTCTCTATCCTAATACCAAACAAGTTACTGGAGTTTGATAATAGCATGGAACCTTGAAAAATGAGTAGCTTCTTGGAAAACATTAAAAAGAAGATGGTATTTCATGCCAAGCATGCTTAACATTTTCTGCTCTCCAGTTAGAATTGTGAAAAAGTTAATTGCAATGTTCTCTGCCTACTTCATACTTAACATATATGTTCGAAAGGCAACGACAAATCTTATATAAAGTAGCTCGTCTACGTACTTTTATTCAAGGCTAAGCCAATAATAATTATAAACCAAAAAAAGTTACAAAATTTAGCAAGTATATTATACTCTTTTACAACTATTAACTATTTTTTGCTCTGCGCAAAACATATCCCGTATCTCATACAGATAATAGAAAGAAAAGTATTGTCTCACAAATTAAATTTATACCTTGTCGATCGGTATGTATGTGAGTTGCAGGTGCAAGAAAGCATTAGACGAACTTTTGGTTGATTTAACCAGCAACCTGCAATACAAAGAAAAGCTAAAGTTTCAATAATGTTACATTAATATTTTTACCTCATAAAAGGCAAAACTCTCAGTACTTACATGTAGCCTAGCTCTTTCCAAGAATTTTATTAACAGGAATGACTCTGTGCATGCTCAGTTGAACACCAGTAACCTCATCTCTGCCATTTCTTTAAATTAGTTGATTGGTAATTAGCATTGTCCTAATCAAAGGAAGTTAGCAAAGGCTAGGTGAGCATACTAATTGACGTCAGAAAAAAAAAGTGTAAACATTAGTCATTGCATCTTAATATTACAATAGGGATACAATTTCATGGCAGAGCAAAAATGGGATCAAGAAATTTGATTTACTACAAAAAGATACAATGAAAGAGACATCCAAATTATTCTGAATTCTCAGAAGCCCTTTAAACGAACATTATTTCACAAAGAAAGTTCTTGTTCATATAGGCCAAGCATTTTGCAAACCCATTCTTCTAAGATCAACTAAATCTAATGCGGGCATATCTTCAAGCATCTCAGCCTATGCAACATTCTTCAAACTTGAATTCAAACATTCTAAAGGAACTCATCTTCATGTTTTAGTAATTACTTAGGAATGAATAATTCATAAAGGGAAGAAGTAGAAATTTGACATTTTAAGTCTGTTGACTTAAGGCTAATTAGCCTTTATTTGTCTCACAGTAAGATTATTAACCAAAAGTCAAATCACTAAACCACCATCTCAACCACACAAGTAAATATTTGATAATACATCCACAACAACAACATTAATCAAATGATCCATCCAATTCAAAAGAACAGTTCAAATTTTTGTAGAAGAAAATTTACAATACACATCAGCTTTTATCCCCAAATAGCATGAAAAATCTGTTAAAAAAATTAAACTGAAGTTTAAAAGAATGGATGACTAAATTAATCCCCTAACCAGCCCCAGCCCCAGCCCAAGCTCAGCCCATCCTCGCCCTTGCCCCTGCCCCCTAAACTATCTTCCCACCGCTCCTAAGATAACATCCTCTACCTAATCATATCACCACCAATATAAATTGCAAGATATAATACGTGTTAAACTTTTCTTGGTAGAACATCAGCGCATCAATGATCACCATGTTATGCCAAAGTCGGTAGTAAAGCATTATTTTAGTTAAATACATCAAAATTTCATCCATTTATTGTGACACAATCTTTTTAGTATCAGATTAGTATGATTCACTTCAAGAAGAGAGTTTATCCATCTTGTCAAACTATTTGCTTAGATCAAATTGAAGACGAAACACATTACATGCACATGATATCCATAGATAGAATTGTATTCATTTCCTGACATCAAACGGTGAATCATTGTAAAATCTAAGACTCCAATGTCCTCTAGTGCATGTTAGGGGATCGCCACTCAATAAACTTGACCTGAAACATAAATATACTAGGCGTCTAATGGAAAAAATAAATAAAGGAAAAGCATCACCTATATTTTATCACACTTTCAGATGTTCATGTCAACATTCTATATGCCAAGACTTCATCAAAATACTCCACTGACTTTGCAGTTTTACAATTGCAACAGTCAAATGTATCATAAAATATGAAACCTACTGAATCTAGAGATTTTTCTGACACAATAAACAACCAACCATAAGCAAGCTAACTTTTTCACGCACATGTATCAATTAAACGAAAAAATTTAAACACACAACAGTAGCCATATCAAACAGCAAAGGTACAATCATCTCAACAGTCGGAGGAAGGAAAAAACACATGGCTAGCAGAAATAAGCGAAATGAGCAAAGAAGAAGGAACTACCTATGGCAGATTAAAGAATAAAAGAACATTGCTTTGTTCTTTCTCTGGCATATTAAATATTCCTGATTAAGCATTCTTCACCTATCTGCTTTATCCAAACAAACAAATTGACCAAAGAGAAAGAATAAATCCACTAGTTTCACAATAACCAAAAATAAACCACCACTCAAACCAACTAAAATTCAATATTTGATTTCCTTATATTATTATACATATAGTCTATATATAGACTAAATGTTATTTCAGTTATTTAATATAGTTGTTGTTTTCTTGCATTTTAGCCTGTTTCATTCTACGAAAGACAAATTCATCAAACCATGAAATTGTTATAAAAATATGATATCCCAAATCGACAATACAAAGGTTATCATAGAGATTTATGATTGTCTTAAGTCGCTCAATTTGTTACTATAAACTTTTAGTTTGTTTTCTGACTCATTATTACTAATCTATTTTCCTACATATTCCCTTCTCTTAGATGGCCTAATAATGAATATTATCCGAACAATTCAATTGTGTTTGTCTCCTAAAAATGACCTCACTTTAGTCAAAGTCTTTTTAGGTCTTTCATCTTAGACAATGCAATCTATTCTCTGCTTCAAACTAATTCTTCATTGCATTGACTGTGTTCTATATGTAGTTTTCCTTTTACTGGTAAATCAACATATTAACACTTTCTACTTTTTATATTAGTATTACAACTCCAATCTAAATACTGCACTCGGTTTTTCAAACTTCTCTCAATACATAAACTTCACCCCATACATAAACTTCACTGCCCAAGATTCAATTTTGACACATTCGCCCTATACTAAAACCATATTATAAGCAGAGTCGTTGAAACTTTTTTTTAAAAAGATAAGGTTTTATTAAACATAAAACTGATATAACGAAATTACGAGCAGAGTAGCTAACACTTAGTTACATCAGCAGACAGAACTTCACTAATATGAGCATATCCGAGCTTCTAAAAACTATCTCTGTAGCATAAAAATCTTAAGCAATGAAATTTACAAGTTTATGAACTGACAAAAGAGACAATTCACAACATAACAACTACCAAAATGACCTTCATAAAATAACCAAAATTCCCAGGCTCGAGTTGGAATGAAGAAGCGGAAACCAATTTCAGAATCCAATTTCAACCACCACTTTGATCTTCCCTATGAAGAAATTGTCTTTTCAATTCTGTTTTTTTTTTAAATGACTCAATTGACAAAAAATCAGTCTTTCTTGTTGACTGCTTCTTCAACAAACATTAAATACAAAGATTATCTGGGGATTATTCAGATTTGTTATTGTACAGGAAAAAATCAGAAGAAGAGAAATGAGAACCACATTACCTTTTGATTCTATTAAGCACATCAGTAGGAAGTCCAATAATTGGTCAATTTTTTATGAAGAAAATGAAGTGTTTGAACAACTTTTACATCAAGCCTTAATTTCAAACCAATCCAAAATGTTAAGGGAATAAAAGAAATTAGGGCTTTTAGCATAAGGATGAATTTTGGAGTGTAAGGGTAGAAATCAAGAGGAAGAAAGTCAAAGAGAAAGAAGGGTACCTAGCAGTAGCGAAAGAGAACCAAGTTCGCCGCCTAAAAAGAGTGTCGTTTCAATTCGCTGTGTCCCTTCTGTATTAGCAGATTGTGAAAAAGTTGATGAAGGGATCAAACGACGATGCGCGCGGCTTGGATTTCCTCCCGACTCCTTCAGATTTTGTTCGCTACTTGACGTAACTCGTGGATGCAGATGAGAGGGTGAAGAAGGAGGAGAGGCGACTAGATTTTGTTCGCCCCTTTCCTTCTTTCTTTGTATTTCAAAATTAAACCATTAATTAAAATATCCAATTTCAAATTGATTTTGCAAAAATACCTAATCTATATTCTTAGCCAAATATTCTTTATTTTTTTTACCTTTTAAAAATAGAGTACACAAGACAAAATTATCATTTAACTATTTTCCTAATATTTAGGACTTCAAAATTACCAAAATTTTCTATATTATCTTTTTCCTTATTTAACTACATAATACCATATTTGTTAAAAAAAAAAAAATACTAGCAAAATCAAAGTAGAAACTAGCGTGTACTTTGAACTCCTATAAGGTTTAGGAGCGTTGTCTTTGTATAGAATTATTGCCGGTTAATTCTTTAAATTTTTAATATTTTAATAAAATAAAAGAAAATTAATTGAAAGAGAATAAGTAGAAAGCAAATAAAGTCTTGTGCAATTAGAACTCCTTATTCTTTCTTTTTCTTAAATGTAAGATGTTACTCTTGTAGTGTGAATGCTTCAAAGTTTATCACTATCAACTTTACAACAAATAACTTAAAATAATTAAAGGGTACAATACACATGAATCAAAATTTACCAAAAAAAAAAAAGAATAGATTTAATTATAAATCAAGAACTATTGAAGTTTCCTATACATCGTAAATCAAAACCTATAAACCTAATAAAAAATATCTATAAATTAGTTTACAAAATATAGGAATATAATTTTTTAAAATAATTATAATTGTATTATAGTAATAATAAACTATAAGATATTTAAATTTTTTGTTAAATTTATACATGTTAAAGCATAAATCCAATTAGATAATTGAAGCATAAATAAGATAAAGAAATTTATATAACGAAATTAATTGTAAAAAATTGCACGTATTTCTTTATAAGAAATTTAAGGATGAAATAGTAGAAAATAAGGTATATTGTAAATAAGTCAGTCATTTTTAATGTTTTTATTTTTTGGCATTTAGTCCTACTATAATAGCTTCACTATATTTTTTTTATATTAAACTATTTATCGTAAATATTAACTCAACCGTAATTATTTTTTAGACTTTATCGTAAATCAAACCTATAAATATATTAGGACGAGTAAAAATATTATATTTAACTAAGTTTACAAATGACAAGATTATATTTGAAAATAATATAATTATATTAATAATAGCTATAGTGTACTTTAAAATTCTTGTTGAGCTTTTACACGTTAAAGCACAAACCCAATCAAATAAGTGAGGCATAAATAAGATACTGAAATATATCGAAATTATACTAATAAGTCGTATGTATTTTTATAAGAAATTTAAGGATGAAATAATAAGAAAAATATGTATTGTGAATAATAAGCTGTCATTTGTTTCTTGTATTTAGTCCAAAAAATGACGATGCCTTACTATATTTTTTTATATTAAATTTTTTATTATAAAATATTAATTCAACTATAGTCATTTTTTAGACTTTACAATATTAATTTTTGGGAAGCTATAAGACCAACCTTTATATTCTTTTTTGTGTTTTGTTTTCTATATTAGGCCACCAAAATAGCAATAATTTTTATAAGACCACATACGTCCTCATAAATCACAATAAAACATCTAAAAACTTATGTCGAACATGATTTTTTCATTTATTGAACTAACTAAATGGGAACAACATTCAAAATTTTTAATTTTTTTTTTTAACTTTTATTAGACAAATACATAGTTTGATAATATTTCCGTAATTTTAAAAAAATTATGTACTCATTAATATAGATACACGCGCAACGCGCGTATCGTAAAGCTAGTTGAATCTAAAACTGCAACAAGAGTGATTGATGTTTAATTTTTATTTTTGATTTCATGTATTAATTATGCACTTAATGTGTAACTAAATCCTAAAAATGCAATTTAAAATCTAAAATGCTATAAAATTAAGATTTTAATATTTTATATGATTTTTTATGATTTACGATATTCCTAACATTCATAAACAATGTGAATACATGCAAAACAAATAAAAGAAAAACTCCTAAAATTCTATAACAATAATAAAATTTATTTTGGACTATTTTTAGGAGTAAATTCCTATGTGGGGCAAAAATTAGGTGCTCACACGAGTTGAATAGTTCCTGGCAAGCCCCGCACTTGTTCGCGTGGGTGAAAAGTTTATTTATTTGTTATCGTCTTTCCATATGAACTCTTAGAATCGCTCCATAATCATTCTTATGAGTGTCATAAGTATTCTTTTATTGATATAGACTTGTGACTCGTATTAGACTTCCCATCGTATACTTGGAGATGAAGTTGGAATTATTGTGTTGGAAATACTTCGTGAATGAGGATTATGACTTGTTTTGGTGGATATTGGTTGGTTGTGTTGTTGATTTCTAAGACATGTTTATTTTTGGATAGTCCTAAAATAGGGGAAACTCTATTTAATTTTCTGTAAATTACCGATGAGGCTTACTTGGGAGCACTTGCTCTTAAGCGTCGGTCATGATCCTAAATTGGTTCGTGACACTAATGTAATACTAATATTTTTCGGCATTTTATTCCTTCTTTAGAAGTCTTTCCTTAGAAAATTCAAAAAAAAAAAAGGAATTTTAAAACCCAAAAGATATTTTCCTTCTTTCCGAAGTCTTTCATACGAAATAGAAATTAAAAATCAATCAAAAATCAAATCCAAAATAAGGGTTTCCTTTATTTTGAAGTATTTTTTCCAAAAATCCAAAACAAAAATCCAAAAATATTCTTTTTCTTCTTTAGAAGTCTTTCTTTCCTAAATGTCATAAAAATTTAAAAAAATTGAAGTCTAAAAATATTTTCGCTTTTCTTTAGAAGTACTTTTGTAAAGTAAAAAAAAACACTCAGAAATGCGAAATATTTTCTTAAAATTCCCCCTTTTGAAAAATTCAGAGGCAACATTCAAAATACAAAAAATATTTTCTTTCTTCTTTAGAAAAAGAGAAAACAAATAAAAATTCAAACAAAATATTTTTCTTTTTACTTTTGAAATTTTCAAAGTTCATAACAAAAGAAAAAGAATTATTAGTAGTCTTTCTTTCGAAAAACAATAATAAAATTCAAAATTCAAAATCCAAATTATTTTTTCATGAACAGGAGCTACTCCCTCCGTTCCAATTTATGTGAACCTGTTTGACTGGGCACGGAGTTTAAGAAAAAATGAAGACTTTTGGATTTTTGTGGTCATAAACAACTCAAAAAGGGGGCCAGAGTATTTGTGTGGTATAAAAGCTTCTCATTAAGGGTAGAATTGTAAGTTTAAGCTAAATTGTTACCAAATTTAGAAGGGTTCATTCTTTTTGGAACGGACCAAAAAGGAAATAGGTTCACATAAACTGGAACAGAGGGAGTATTTGTTTCTTGAACTACGTAATTGTAACGACCCGACCGGTCGTTTTGCCTTTTAGAACCCTGTTCCCCTAAATAAAGCCGCCCGTACTTGCTTTAACTAATACACGACTTGCGGGGGCGATAGGTTCGGGAATTGGAAGGGTTTTGAGTAAAAATATGTCCATTTGCTTCTTTAGGATTTTTTAAAAGACCAAGTTTGACTTCGGTCAACATTATGGGAAAACGGACCCGGATTCGTGATTTGGCAATTTCTGAGGGTCCGTGGGAAAATAAGGGACCTGGGCGTGTGTCCGGAATCGAATTCCGAGGTCCCTAGCCCGAGTAATGAATTTTTATCTAAAATTGTTTAATTGAAGCTTTAAGGAATTAAAGAAACTAAGTAATCATTGATTCCCTCGGTATCAGGCTCGGATTTTGGTTCCGAAGCTTGGTACAGGTCCGTAATGTCGTTTAAGACTTGCCCGTAAAATTTGGTGTCAATCCTAGTAGCTTAAGGGCGTTTTGACCCGTTAGAGGAGAATTAAGAACTTGAAGATTCAATAGTTTGATTCATTTGGTTTTAGGGGGTGATTCCGAGATTTAGCGTTGTTTTGGGAGTTCCGAGGGTTCGAGTAGGTCCGCCTCATGATTTCAGACTTGTCGGTATGTTCGAGCGGGGCTCGGGAGCCCCGAGCGTCAAACGAGCGAGGTTCGAGCGAAGTAAGAAAATTGGGAGAGAACTGAACTTTGCTGCTTCTGTCATAACCGCATCTGCGGTTCTTGGACAGCAGAAGCGGTACCGCAGATGCGATCAGCCATCGCAAAAGCGGAAAGGGCCAAGCCCAGGGGAAACCGCAGAAGCGGCCCCGAGACCGCAGAAGCGGTATCGCTTAAGCGGCCCCCAGACCGCAGAAGCGGTCCAACTCCTCAGGCCCAAATCCGCAGAAGCGGCTCGACATCCGCAGAAGCGGACCCGCATAAGCGGGCATCTGACCGCAGAAGCGGTCCAGGCTTCTTGGGCCATTTCCGCAAAAGCGGGCCTTTTTCCGCAGAGGCGATTTCCGCAGAAGCGGTCATGGTGCCGCAGAAGCGGAAATCGCTGGGGGCAGAGAGTTCATTTAATCCGAACTCAAAGTCATTTATTCCATATACAACTCCACACTTGGGCGATTTTAGTGCTTCTAAAGAGAGGGTTTCAGCATAGCATTGTAAGGTAAGTAATCCCCATTCATCCTTAGTTAAATACATTTATATTAGGTAGATTAAACACTAAAAATTAGGTAAAATCAAAGGGTTAGAGCTGGACCTAGAGTTTTAATAAAACTAAGATTTAATCATGTAATTTGTTATGAAATGGGTTAGAATTTATATATTATTGATCCTTAGGTTGTAGAGAGCAATTTCCTTCGAAAAATATCGGAATCCGGGCACGTGGGCCCGTGGTCTGAATTTAGGAAACTTGTAGAAAAGGTTGGGAAATTACTTAAATAGTTGGAATTCGACCTTTTAAGCCTTTATTGACTGGTTCTTACCTATTTTAACTAGTTTGCGATCGTTCGGCTTCGAATTAAGAGCTTGGGCTTGTTCTTGATATCGGGAGCGCGCTTTGGAGCGAGGTGAGTCTCCTTTCTAAACTTGTAAGAGGGAACTGTCCCCATAGGATTTATAATTGAGTAATTGTTACTAAATGC